TGATACACCCAATGTGATGATACCTATGGCGTCTTTCCTCTGCTGGTCTCTTGGCTCAGAGGTGTACATATATTCATGGCTAAGAGGGCCCTGCAAAGAACCTGACCTCACCAAAACTTATTTTAGGAAGGTGAATAATAAAGAGGGGTCCTTAGAGACTTGAGCCACCAATCTGAACCATACTTAGAACAGATATATTCCCATTGCACAATCCTGTGGGCCTTTGGGACAGGCCAGGAGTTAAGAAGCAGGGACTTGGGGGCTCTTTAGTGCTTCTATATCTAAAACACAATTTGTCTGCACAGGTTCCACAACTTGAACAAGTGCAGATTACTAGAAATAAACAGCTATCCATGAAGAGCACAGAGACAGGATGCTTGAGCTCCCTGGGGTCCATCACACAGTCCCATCACACAGGATGTCCTCAGAATCTGCAGGCGGCTATATCCCTCGATGAGGTGCACAGGCACACTTAGAAACAAACAGCTTAGAGTTATCAAGTAAAAAATAAAATCACATTCCAGGAAACGAGAGACATTTTTCCTGAGGTCTCAGTGTCAGTGACTTGAGTCCTGGAGTATCCTGGATATTGCAAGTTTTCAGAATTCCATTCTGTTCCTATCAGTCATGGGTGTGCTGACAGAACCATCGTTAGCCAAGCTCATCTTCAAAATACTCTGGGTCGGAGTTAGTCTTTGTTCCCACATGGGAAATTTCCACTCTTGTCAAAGATTGTCAGTGGCTCATGGGTCCACTCTCACACCACAGTGTTTCAATTAACTTTGGTCTGGAGTGAGGCAGCATCTTCTTGATAATTTTCAGCATCATGATAAAACTCTAAGCTGGCCAGGCTTGCCAGAACTTTCTGAAGTAATGGACATGCCCTTTACCCATGTTTCCCAGTATGGAAGCTACTCATTGTCTGATGAGTATATGAAGTGGAGCCTACTTGTTATTTTTATTGATTTTAGTGGACACAGATACATGCCTCTGTTGGCTACAGAACTGGCTGTGAGGGCACTTACTAAAGCCATTGTAATCCACATTAGGAATGGCAAGCAAGGAGTCAGTACTCATGGAATAGTGACTATAAGTGAGGTCACCACTCCTTCTAGATGGCTACAATACTGGTGACTTTGTGTAACAGGGGACTCATTCTCTCATACAGTTTTAGGTGGCCCGAGATTGGGAAGCTGTGTTTAGGAATGTCACCCACTTGGTATAATGTTTGCCCAGCACTGCAAAAACCAGGCATAGTGATACCTATGGCTGTAATCCTAGCACTCAAGAGGTGGAGACAAGGGGATTAAAAGTTCAAAGTCATCTCCAAATACATAAAGAGCTTGAGGCCAGCCTGGGCTACATGCTACCCTCTCTAATTAGTTAGTCAATGAATTTTTTTTTTTTAAAGAATGGGCAACTTGTGACCAAGGGAAAAGAAAAGTGTCTTTAATTCAGCCACACCAGCATCCTTTGCCCATCACATTAAGAAACAGAGTTTACCTTGGACATTCTCAGCAGGCTTAACTGCACTCAAGTATCCTAAACCAAAATAGTTTATAGTCATCCTTAAATGGAAAGAAAAACATACAATGAAGTGCTGTACCAACTTAAATGCATGAAGACTGTTTTCATGATTTTAAAAGATCAGAGAAAACTAAGTGTGAATTTTGCATATAAAACAGCCTAACATTTGCAATTCCACAAAAGCATTTTTAAATGAATTCATGGCTCCCAGTGGTACACAGTACCCCAAGGGTTTAGGTCCAAGTTTTGCCCACTCAAAACTTCAAAATAGCTGCTTTGGATAAATAAATAAATGTGGAGATAGTATAAGACATACCAGCACTGTTTTTTGTTTTTTTCTTTTTATACTCTCCCAGCTGGAAGTATTCTGGCAAAAAATGGAGTCAGAGCAGCCCATTCCTTTTGGCCTCCACCTAGACAAGGTTCTCACCCACCTTCCCTAACAAATAGAGCTTAGGGAGGCTGATGAAGACATACCTGTGGTCCATGGGCCCAATGGCTAGCACACAAGGTGAGTGGGCTTTGATAGGATTATGCTGAAAGAACCAATTACCTTCTGTCTTCTTGGGGGCCCTTGACACTCCTCGACTCTGTTATGTCCTTTTAAGAATGGACCATGTGGTAGAGAAGCCACCAGCTGCAGGTGGCTCTATACAGCCTCACCCCCTGCTGAGAAAGGCCAGCCCAGGGCCAGCTCCAAGCACACAGCTGACCAAGAGGAGGGCAGCCCTGGGGAGTCAAGATCTCTGACCACTTACTGCTGCAGTCACAAGCATAGTATTGGAGCAGAAATGCCCAGAAAGAGAGAGAGAGAGAGAGAGAGAGAGAGAGAGAGAGAGAGATGCAACCAGCTCGATAATACACAATACACAAGTTCTGCCTCTCACCAAACTTTAATCTTTTCCCCCAGGCATCCACTCAAGCAGCATTATATTATTTAATTTTTTTTTTTTTTTTTTTTTTTACTATTAATATTCTGTCCTCAATGTGCTGCAAAGCAACTTCATGCAAAGGAAGAATGGACTTACCGGGAGGACTCATTTGTCTTCGGCACCTGGGCTGTTGTAAATTAGAGTACACCCGGCATGGGGAGCAGTGCTATTTTAATCATTCCAATGTGCCCAGTGCGGGATATGAACTCAAAAGTGAATATTAAAAGTAGTTGTGGAATTCAGTCGTTTCACGAGTGAGCACGTAATAGCCAAAGGCAAAACCGGAAGGCAGCTTCACTTCCAATCAGTGTTCCCATTTTATTGAAACCAGATTGGAATTCCTGGAAGGAAGCCTACAGATCACATCTTTAATACTCATTTTCATACACTCCAGTAAAACTGTCAGGGTGAATCAGTTGTTGAAGAAGGCTTCCTGTATAATTTACAGATGTGCCTCCCTGTAGCCCATTATTTAGAGCTGAAACTGAAATGTGTTTTTGATCAAGCTCCGAGACTTCCTCTCACCTGCCCAGGTTTGCTGGACTTTAATTTGGCGATTAATGCTGGCCTTTCACACCACACTGCCCCTCAACGCCAAGGACATTCATCCCCACACAGGCAGCAGCGGCCTGGATGGCGCCTGTGCCCACTGGGATGCTGGAGGTGAGTGGGAAGACAGAGCTTAGCATCCACCACAGACAGGAATACCACAGTTGGAAGCACTACACCAACCACGGGAAGCTTGGGCAGGAATCTGAGAACATGTGGCCTGGGCTCTGCTGAGGCCATGTATTCTCAGCCCACTGCTGAAGCAAAAAGCGAGTGCAGAGGGAACAAGAGTACACAGCAGAGACCTTCAGCCCTTTCTGCTCACCCTGACTTCCTCAGGTACAGTCAAAGCCAGCTAGAATTTATTCTAGAAAGGCCAGTCTTCACAGTAGAATGGGCTGAGCACTCCACCCTGTTAAGACATAAAGAAAGTGAGCTATAACCCAATGCTAATTGCCTGTGCTGTCTTCCTTTTTTCCTCTTGACTGTGCTGGCCTAAGACAACTGCTTAGAGATATGGGGATGGCAGGACACAGGCCAGGGAGGGAGACCCTTGGGCTGTTTGTTGGCTCTTGGCTCATCATGTGGGGTAGGGACTGTGTGACAGGGGTCTCAGACACTAAGCCAGTATCTGAGCCAGGCTCTTGGCCTCCAATCTTCTCATCCAGGTATCCAGGCAAATCTGTGAGCTCAGCTGAGGGATTCTGACTTTTAAAAGATGCAAGATCCCTCATTATTCTAAACCTTTCCTTTGTGGGAGGGGGAAAACCAATTTGAAATGAAAATTATATGGAGAAAAAAGAGCCCTAGGCATTTTTCTCCAGAAATATCATAACAGAACAGGAAACTAGGCCTTGCTAGTATCTCAGTTCCAGTTCCGCGACAACACAGCCACTCAGCCTCATGCTCTTAATATACATCAGTGTACTCAGATGATGGCCAAGCCAAGTCACCTGAGAATGTTGCTGGTCAAGCAAGAAGGCAGTGCAGAGAGAACTTCAGCCCAACAACTAAAGAGCTGTTCTCACCACTCCAGGAAGTCCTTCCTAGAAGGTTGCTTCTAGTCTTTTCACAGAGTCAGCACTGACTCTGCGCACGAGGGCAAGATCTGGATGGTTAGGAGGAAGACAGCTCACTAACAAGGAGGCCTGTGAAGTGGCTGAACTCCTGTCCTGGCTACTTGCCCTGGCCACTTTTCCTGAGGATTAAAGAAACACAAAGCACAAAGTCCTGCACTGTCCATAGAAGGCAGTGTTAGGAGGGGAGACCAGGAGCTGGCCCCTGGCCCTGCCTCAAGGCTCAAGCTTGTCATCTGTTAAATGAAATTACAGTAACTCCCTCACCTGCAAGCTATGACTGATAGACTCACATACTCAAGTATGCAGAGTCATCTCAAGGCCTTGATATAGAGAAGGCAGAGAAGATAGAAGCCCTGTGGGAGAGGATGGTGGCTGACTTCCCTAGGTCACCTTTACAAAGAGGTTGGATTTTATGAAGAACTGTGAGACATCATTGGTCTCTCTCTCTCTCTCTCTCTCTCTCTCTCTCACACACACACACACACACACACACACACACACACACACACGTGTGCACAAGCAGACAATTGCAAGAAAATGGCTAATGTTAGATAGAAAACTATGTCTAAACAAAGAGTGATCCAGCTGCCTTCACTCTTCCACACAAGGAAACTTGGATGGTATGCCTGCCTCATACCTGTTCACAAGACACGCCTGCACTTGGCTTGCTACTATGATCTCAACTTTGGGAAATCAGTGAAATCCATGCCCGTATGGCTCCACTCAGAGACCTATGGGGATGTGGCTTGTGTCAGACAGGCTGAAGTCTAGACTTGAGAAGCAAAAGTCTGGAATGTGCTGTTCACTCATTCACTCACACACCTTCCAAGGGGCAGCCACCACACCAGGCAAGAATGAAACCCTGCCCCACTGTTGTTAAATTAATTTATGCAAAACACATGCAATAACTAACCTGGCTTGTGCATGATGTTCCTTCCAGTTCATGGAGAGGGTCTGGGCTCTTCCTGGCTAAGCCAAGCTTCCACGAACAGGCTGCAAGGATTGCTCTTCTAAAGAGTTAGAGGTTGTTGGCGGAAGCAGAGCTCTGCTGGCTGTTTAATTTCCCTCTCTCCACAGTGAGCTGACGGCTGGAGGCGAGGATGCCTTCCATGGAAAAATCTGTTCCATTCCCCTAGGATGAGGTGGCCTTATGCTTTCTGGTGCTTTCCAAAGTCACCCCTGCCCTACTCAGCATGCAACATGGTGCCTCCTTGTACTGAGGGACAAAGAATGAAAGAAATGAACCTTGCTCATACAGTGAGGAGGACAGCAGGAAGAAAGGATCCCGCCCTTTATTAGACTTGACAGTGCTCTTGTGAAAGCAAAGCGAGACTTTGGTCATTGGCAGAAAAGCATGTGGATCATCAGACTGTTGCTTCAACATGTACACAGACCTACACACATTGAAATCATAAAACGTGTGCCATGTGGCCACATGCCCTCGTCTTTGATAATCAGCCACTGTTCTCAGGTGGTCCCTTATCTCCACATTTGTCTCTGAGCTTCAGAAGGTCACAGGGAGTCCTGATCTCAGGATAAATATATTTCCTGGAACAAAATTTAAATGGAAAACGTTCTGGTAGCCACTGGGATAGATGGGAAAGTGCTAGGAGATTTATTCCTGTGGGACTCAGGAGGACTCCAGAGACTTTGGTCATTAGAAAGTATCTTGATAAAGGCAACTTAAAGTAGAAAGGGCTTGTTACGGCTCACAGTTCCAGAGAGGATAGAGTCTGTCATGGCAGGGAAAGCTTGGCACCAGAAGCATGAGGCCAGCCTGTCACACTGTGTGAGTGGTCTAAAAAGAGGAGGGAGACAGAGAAACAGAAGCACAGAGAAAAACAGAGACAGATAAAAAGACAGGGAGTGAAACAGAGAAGCAGAGAGAGAGGAGGAGGAGGAAGGAGGGAGGGAAGGAGAGAGAGAGACAATAGAATGACCAGACTATAAAACTCAAACCCCGCCCCTAGTGATGTGCTCCTGTACTCTCTCCAGTAAGACTCCACCTCTTAAACCTTTTCTAAAGACTCTAAGATCAAGGATGGAGAGATGGATCAGTGTATAAGAGTATTGGCTGCTCTTCCAGAGGTCCTGAATTCAATTTCCAGCAACCACATGGTGACTCATAGCCATTTATAATGTGATCTGATGCCCTCTTCTGGCATGCAGGTGTATATGCAGATAGAGTGCTCATACACATAAAGAACAGACTCTAATCTCCCAGATGGGAACCAAGTGTTCACACATGAGCCCATGGGGGACATTTCACATTCAATCACAAACATACACTCGCCTCTGAGATGACTTCCTGTCCAGTCCCTAGAGAATCACTCACTTATATGTCGAGGAAGTCACTGAACTTGGGTTCTCTGCTGAAGTTTGCTCAAACCCTAGCTTGAGAGGCCAGATGTCTTTCCTGCTGCAGTGGATGGCCTGCCCAGCAACTCACTCTCCTCCACTCTGGAAGGCTCAGGTCTAAGGTCTCAGAGAACAAGATGCATTGTACAGCCAAGCCACCCTCCAAACTGCAAATCCCTTTAGAAACATAAAGTCTGCTCTCAAATTGAAGCTGAAGTGCTGATGTGTAATCTTAGCTTCTATCCTGACGACAGGCCTGGTGAGCAAGTTCATCTAGCAAGAGGCAGTTCCCCTGACCTGGAGGGGAGAGGTTTTCTTTTATTAAACACCAGCTATGCCCTCTGTTAGTTGGTGTTGATAGAGGTGAAGTATTTGTGTTTTCTGTTCTTCGGGAATTTTGGCAGGAGTGGGGGTAAGGCAGGGTCTTACTGTGTATGTAGCCCAGGCTGGCTCAAACTCAAGATACTCCTGCTTTTATCAATTGAATACTGTATATTATAAGCATGCATCCCTGTGGCCTCTGTCATTGGCTTACATACTTGCCCTGCTTATTCTGAAAGCATCTTTGCAGAGTTAACGAATTCAACATCGGCCAAGCTGCAGAGACTGACTGCCACTCTTTTGCCAGAGGCGGGACCAACCAAGTACCCAGATTAGGACCAAGTGAGCCATGATGGTTCCAATCTACAAGTGGGTACAATGCTCTTCATGAATAAAACAGGACAGAATTGCCTGAGTGAGAAAGCTTATATCTCTGTGAAGGTGGCACCGACATAGACTGGGAGATGCCCTTTTTTTTTGGAAGAAAACCAAGATGGGTCTATGGCCATGCTAGAGCCTGATCACTGAGCTGAGAGAAAGCCTTCTCAGGAATTTCGCTAGAAGAATATGAGGGCATGCCATGGTTTCCCCTCCACAGAGAATGGGACCTTTGAATGACTAGCTGCGGTGCTCCCTGGTCCACCTAAATCTGGCAACTCAGCAGGAGTTAGAGTTCTTTTTTGGTAGCTTCCTGGAAAAATCAAGGGACTGTTTCCAGAATTCTCTAAGGATGCCTCTGTTCCCAGATCAATGTGGGGCCTCGTTGGTCTGAAGAGGCCGAAAGTAGAAACCAGGAAAGCAATAATGAAGTCCTTGTGGCCTTGTCATCCCTGGCTCGCATACATATTGGCCAGGATGGGTTTCCTCAGCAGGTGCAGCGACTGTAGGCACACACGTGCTTTTTAGAGCAGGTTACTGCACATGTGGGTGGGAAGAAGCTAAGGATGATAAGAGAGCTGTCCAGTCCTGTTCTTGCTGGCGTATGCAGCCTTTGTCACACCAGGACTGTGTAGAATGTCAGGGTGCAGGCCTCTGTTTAGAAAAAAGCTTTCCTAAGATACAAGGACATCATGCCTCCCTAGAAAGGTCCCCAGTGCCCACAGCCATAAACTGACCCTTCACTCCCCATTGCCGAGACATCTGAAAAGATGCTCATCAACTCTGGATGATGGAGGATGAAGACCATTAGTGGGCAATTAATATTTCAGGATTCCATCTTAATTGCCAAAACAGGAAAAAAAATGTTCATTTTGGAGGCAAAGGGTTTTTTTTAACCTTTATTTTTAAACCCTTAACATAATGACTGAATGGCTAATACGAAATGGATACATTTTTAACAGACTCCTTTGAAAAGGCACTCAAAGCTGAACTTGAGCATAGGCAGGAACCGGGGACACGACGAATCTGGCAGCAAGCTGCCCCCGCCTGCGCCAGCTCCGTGCTCTGACAGAACAAGTGTTGCATGAGATGTGAAGGATGACTGTGGCGGCCTGTCAGCCCTGGAGCAGGTGTTCCTCGTCCTCATTTGCAGTGGAGCGTGGCCCCTGGCTCAGCCAGCCGAAGCCAGTGCCTGGCAGCCCCTCATGTACCTGCATGCAGAGAGCCGCTAATGATAATGGATGCAGGCCGATTAGGCAGCCCATTTGGAATGGCCCAAAGTGGCCATGAGTCAGTGACTCTCAGGGGAAGCAACATGCTGAGGTCCCTGGAGGGCTTTGGACTGTCCCTCGGGTCCCCGTGTCCAAGGCAGGATGAGTCACAGGTCTCAGAGACAAAAGTAAGGATGCTGGGCTCTCCATCTTTGCGTCCCCAGTGCTGAGTGGCGGTTAATCCCTGCTTAATAACATGAAAGGACATATGGCTTACTGCTGCTCTTGGGGAAGCTACTAGGTAGGGCAGCATTGCTGGTCATGGGGCTGTTGGAACCCCAAGTGTGCCCCCATTTGCCATACTCCTCATGGGCCAGGCCTACCTGGAAGCCTGTTTCCATCTGTTCTTCCTTGTGCTCAGCCTGTCTTTATACCTCTTTCCCGTGGGTCCTCATGGACTCAGGATACAACATGGCCAAGTTACCTGCCTGGCCTCAGATGTCAGCTCCATATTCAGACAGAATGTGTGTTGCATGAGAAGGGAGGGAGGGCTGAGCTCTGCCTCCTCCTGAGTCCAATCCCTGGCTTCTCGGTGCCCCAGTTTCATCCTAATAAAAGGAGGGACAGTGGGGCCATCCCAATCCTGAGGAAGGCTTCAGACTGGGAACCTTCTGACTCAGACTGAATGGCATGTGATGGGCAAGCATGGGTTCTCTCACTTACAGGGTCTAGTAGGAACCAATCCAAACATGGTAGCAACCTAACGAGGCATTACAGTGATTCTCATAGTACTGTCACACTGATGTCATGCACACCACGCTCCCTCAGAAGCCATTTTTGAGGGACAGAACTGAGGCTGCCACAAATCAAATTCTAAGAGAGTTATGTAGAATACAGGTCCTCAAAGGGCAGGAAGATTTCCCAAAGGAACTATGCAGTGTCCATTGGAAGGAGAAGGGAGTTACCTGTATTTCCGGGAAAGACAGTTTCCTGCTAAGGCCCCAGTAAGCCTCTAGAGTTTACATGCACCAGCCTGAGGCATTTTTGGAACACCCAAGCAAGCAAGCAAGCTTGCAGGTGGGGAACTCTCCCTATGTCCATCCACAGGATAAGCAAGCATGTATCAAGCCCCAGTACTCAGGGAGAAATGGGCTAGTAGAGAATGAAGCTGCAAAGTGGGCAGCTATTGTTCTCCTTCAGATAGCTCCAGGGGTGCCCGAGGTCACACCTTGTCACATGCTAGCATCTCCGTGTTAGAATAACTGGCTTACAGATACTGTAGGCTGGGAACAAATCTTCCCAATGGCAAAGGAAAACCATGAAAGCTCTGCATGTACATAGACAGCCCCAGCCCTGTCTGCTGTGGGACCCAGAGTATTGAGTACTCAGCTTCCTTGCTAGCATGATATGAAGGCTAGGGAAGCATTAGCTGTATGTACTTACTAGCCCACAGTCAGTGGTGAGTTCTAGTACCCAGCGTTTGGGGGAGTTGGTGATAAAGTCAATGGGATAGCCCTTACCTTGGGTTGGTGAGCTTAGCTGATACAACCTAACCAAGGAAACCCGCTACAGGCTTTGAAAGCAGCAGGCCTCTGAAAACGCAGATCCAGTTACTTAGGAACTATGTTCATCAACTACTTCAAGATGCCTGGGGTAGATCAGTTATCCCATCATTTACTAGAGCGCTTCATGCATGTTTCTCCATTTTTTCATTACTGAGATAAACTGGTCCGGACAGGTGTGCTTTCTTTGAGAACATTCTACCTGTCACTCTCATGTCATGTCAGCTGCCTCGGGATGCAGGGAAGGGAGGCACAGGCACCCCTTCCACCCCTAGTTTAAATTGAAACAATTATGCAAATGACCTGGCTGTGTGTAGAGGAACACGGCTTGACCCTCAGTGTTGTGGCTGGTCCTGTGCCCTGGAAAATA